AATTTCCGGCAGATTGAAATAAATAGACAAATGTTTGTTAACTGGAACAAGAAATGGCTGGTAAATATTAATACATCTAAACCGAATATAGAATCTCATAACGCTCTCATAGTTTTAACGTCTAGTTCCTTGAAATGTAAAACCTTCAAATTTAGAATCTGTAAATTTCCATCATAATTATCATGCTTCTTTTCTTTCAATCTTTGTAAGTCAGGTTCGGCATTATTTTCTTTCAAACAAAATTGATTCCATTTTCCCGTTATATACAACATATCTATCACCTCTGAAATAATAGGGGTTTGTGATGAGCTTTTCATTATATTATTTCTGAGCATCCAAATATTATTCCAGATGTGAACGTTTTAATGGAAACATGATATGCTTAAAGCACAGATGAGCACAAAAAATAGTAGAATATGCTAATTCGTTTTTATAAATTCAGTCAATTGTAATAAGATATATTTAATTTATGTATCATAATATAATCTAATTTAAATGCATAAAATATGTTACAGTACATGTCCATTCAACGAAAGACAAAAATATCTACTTTCTTAATTAAGGTTTACAGAATTATTATGGGGTGCTGATAATTTTAGTCTTGATTATTAACGATAGTCTCACACGTGATGATGTTACGTTTCGCTATTTTCATCCGATTATCTATTCCCCACCACACCCTCACGCACAATATTATATTTATTCGTATTAGAACGTCAGTATGTTAACACGTGCGTCACGCTCTCCTGTTAACTGAGATAAATAAAGCAACATTTCGTTTTGAGTGCGAGGAAAGCCCGTATAAAGGAAAAAAAAATGATTGCATCAGAGAAACTGTTTAGTGTCAGTGAGAGAAGAGAATATAGATAGGAAGATAGAAAGGGAGAAAGAAAGAAATAACACAGAGTATCACATAACGCTATCACAGTTTTAAAGTCTACTTTCTTGAAATGAAAAAAAAATGTCACTTTTTAATCCATATATTTCCATCCTTTCTTCTTCTTTTCCACGGGCTCTATAGAACACGGGAGAATATGGCTATCCTCAACAACCAGTCAGTTTCATCTCGGTGCAAAATTTATCCCCTCAATACTCCTAATGCCCTACTTACAACCTCCAGTCCTCCATTTACCGAAATATCCTAGGCTATGTGTCTAATGAGTGTAAAGTTCTTCATCGTTATTTGCTGAATAAATTAATGCTGTTACCTTCTGAAACCTATTGCCTTTTTGTTTGCATTTTAAGCCTTTTTCGTTGCGTACGAGATGCATTCATGAAATTCTGAGCATCCTTCAGTAGAACCACATTACTTTTGCCTCTACTTTTAATTTTTAAGTTACTGTCCAGCATCCCATTCCAATCTCGGAGTAATGGTATTATATAAATCTTCCGCCTTTCATTTCACTTTTCATTTCAAAATTACCTACGACTAATCTGAAATACTTTGCTAAAGTACTAACCTCAAATATATGATGATGTCAAAAAGGAATTTCCCAATTCCCATGGCTATTTCTTTTTCGGGGAAATTAGATTTAGATTATTTTTTCACTAAATTACGAAGTATTATTCAAAATAATGAAAGAAAATTAAAACCGATTTATAACCATAAAAAATTGAAACACCGGTTCTCATATGACCACAGAAGTTAATCAACCTCGAACCTGGTTAATGTCTAGTGTATCACCGCCTGGGAATACAGGTTACTGTAATCTTGGATTTGCGCTTTGTGTAATGAATAACGGATGGCAATTGGAAATCAGAAAAATGAGTTCAAATTCTTGTTGGATTTATCATGTTCCCTTACGCGTAAATGGTTTTGTGAAGGTATAAATCCACCTCTTCTCCACCAGCTAAAAATACTGAGACATATATAAGTAAATCAGTATTTATCTTCAAAATTTTTACAATCTAAAAATATGTCTGGCTTTGAACAAACTGCTAAATGTTGATAAGCCGTATAAAACAAACGAAAAACAAAGCAAATCAATGTATAAAAACTGTTCAATTTCTTGTAAGTAATATATTATATATATATATATATATATATATATATATATATATATACGTGTGTGTTGTGATAGTATATGGTAGTGAAAATTTATATGTGAAATGTGTGATATACAGTCAAATATGAGATATTCCACCACAAATAAATTCAACTCATATTGCCAAAAGCAGGAGAATCTGACATACGTCACAACATTACTTGACAGCTGAAAATTGTACATTAAACTACGAACTATAAAGAATGTGACTATTTTAAGAACCGGGTTTGGTTGTTTTATTTTCATTTTTCCCTGCCTAAAAAGACTTATACTTGTTTGGCAAGATTTACAGTTTGGTATCATGGTTTATAATGCAGAGTATTGCAACGTGGAATCCAAGATAATGATTAAAATAATTCGGGAAAACACAGGTAAATTTCCAAAAGAAAATTATAGTTTCCTTTACGATTGCAATTTGTGGCAAGTGTGCAAAGCATTGTCATATGGACACAAAGAGAAAAAGAAAAGTATAGGTTCTACAAGGATGATTAAAATCCCTGATAATACATAACATGAAGTGTTCAAGCAACAGCGACAACTTCATTATCTAGTCAATTTAAATAGTAGGAAAAAGAATCCAGATATAAAATTTCCATTCTGGTAAGAGCGATAGCAGTGTTTGAGAATTTTTTTTAAACATTTAGTTTATAAATTTTAATCGTCATTAACACTAGAAGTTCGTTCAGTGAAGGCTGAATTTAATTTTTTTCTACGAGATTCTTAATATTCTTACGAAAATCTTAACACATACTTTTAAATATATAATATTATAGAGTAATTTGCTAAGACTATCTTAGTTTAGAGAATAAGAAAGTGTTAATGTATTTTGGAAAACAGTGTACGTCATTTTCATTCGTACAATGGAGAGTCTTTATGCTTAGAACAAAAGAATTGTTGTTCTCGCCTTGAATTCGAGTTTTTAATACAAAGATAAGGGTTCAGCATGATATGAAAAGATATACATGCTATACAATCGAATAGTAAGGTTTGTGTGTTTGCCTGTATGTATTAATGAATACCATATGACTATTACCTATCAGACTTTGGTTGAAATGTTTACGAGTGTCCCTTTGGTATGAGTGATTATTTTTCTTTGAATTTCTTCATTTAACACAATGCTTCTCTTCATTCTCTGAAAACGTGTTCTCTCTCTCATATATATATATATATATATATATATATATTAATAATAGAAATTAAGGAGGATTTCAGATAATTAATTCATCGAGTCTAGAAGAAAAATCAACAGAATGCAGAAAGCACTGGGCGGCCGTTTCGTCCAGTATTTGGGACTCATCAAAAGTGTGCATCCACTACCGAGAATTGAAACACTGACAGCTACATTGACAGACGAACGGCATACCAACTGTACTAACGGTGATGGTGAGTCCCAAATGTAGGACGAAACGGCCGTCTAGTGCTTTGTGCTTTCTGCATTCTCTTGAGATTTCCTCTAGACTCGATGAATTACAATATATAAGGTATTTATGTAGATAAACAGAATGTACCTACATCAGTGGGGGCAAATGTCTTTAAAACTATTATTCTATACCCTAAATAGAAACGGACAGATTAAAATCTAATAAGCGCAAATAATTTTTAAATAGTTTTATAGTAATTTTAAGGTTGTCGAAGAAAAAATAAATTAAGAGATCCAAGACTAAAAATTAACAAATACCAATCTCTCTCTCTCTCGTGCCCGGTGAATAAAATAGGAAAAAAAAACGAGGAATTATATTAGTAAGATGATAATCATAGGCTGATAAACTTCAGACATAAAACCATTTCTGATTAAAGAGGGCATTCTAGATTGACTATTATCACGAAAAGCCTTAAATATAAATCCAAATTAGCGTTCTTCATTATAGAGATCATGTCTTGATATTTCCATCCGACTCACTGATGTTTGTTTAACAAATGCTCAGCTATCACCGAACCAGTTTTATTGGCGATCTTATGTTTAAAATACTGATTCACTTTCCGAATGAATGATACAGTCTTTCACAACATTATATATATATATATATATATATATATATATATATATATATATATATATATATATATATATATATTGTTGTAGCCTTGTTAGGGCCAGAAATAAAGACACAAAGAGGGAATTGAGTTAAAAAAAATGGTTGTTGTGATATATAAGACAAACTGAAGCTTAAAGATTATCTTCTGTTTTGCTGTCACAGTTAAACCTGAAAACTGCTCCAACCAAATATACTTCTTACTGAACGTTTAGTTACGATAGCTTTGTTCCAAAATAAATATGATTAGCAATATCTGCATACAAAACTTAATATTGCATATGGCGTGCTATGTCCTGGCGCAGATAGTTCTTTCAGAAAGTTTCCTATACTGAGTTCGATCCACTGTTGTTCCTATACCACATGATGCTGCTTGTATTAAATTATACTGTTTATTGATATCCTCGGCGAGATGTTGTATCTATTGTTAATATATCTTATACGATAAATAATATCGTGATTTCGATTCGATACTAGCAAACGCAACTTTGCACTTGTATAATGTAGTCTGTACAAATAAGTACATTGTATACATATGGAACTGTGAGCTCCGATCGATGAGAATAAGCTTAGAATATGTAAAAGAATAATGATTTGCCCGCTGTTTGGGCAGACATCAGTAGATTCATTACGGCAAGAAGACTGAAAAATAGTTGAAACTTATAAGTCATTGTTTATTTCCGGGTGTTTTTGGCAGAACTTTGGGACACATCCAAACCAGCTGCACTCTTTACGGCTCATGAGTAAAATTAATCAACACCGACTGTCAACAATGGTGTCTTAATGTCTGGATAACTCTTCGGTTGAATACGCTTAAGAAACATTCGTGATGTTACATGAATTTTAGGTCATACCAAAGATTTCTTACTTATTCCGGAGAGACCCAATGGATTTCAAATATTACATTTCGTCAAAGAAATCA